AGTTCTTTCGTATGTTAATCGCTGATGTGCATCTATTGTCCCTCTACTGGCTCCTTGGCTGGGTTTGGAGCAGGGGGAGCTTCTCAGCTTCTTGAGCCTGAGCCACTCCTGGGGCCCTTCCCCTGCTACCAAAAAACCCACCACACCAAACCAGAACACAAACAAACAAACAGAAACAACAACAACAACAAAAAAGATGGTAGAAAGTAGATGGAAAGGGATCAGAAGGTGAAGGGCACTATTCTGTCATTCAGTCATTGGTGAAGGATTCCCCTCCCAGCACAAGGAACTATGAAAACGCTTCCTCTTAAGGTTTCACCTACAGCGGCTGCCAGCTTGGCAGGGGAACCATCTCCCTGATGAAAACAAATTCCCCTGTTCCTCTGACATTGAGTTGCTCCTGCAACACTGCAGCTCCCTAAGAACATGAGTGTGCAGCTCTCCAAGAACCTGAGGAACGTCAAGGACAAACACTTAATTTACCCTGGCTGGTTTGCTCTCCCCTTTCAAATACTAATTTTATATTCTACAGTCAGTTAAGCAACTCTTTGCAGATTTTCCAACCCATTCTCCCCACAGCCTCAAGGCATAAAGCATTCACACAGTGAACAAGTTGAGAAGTAAAGCATAAAATACATGAAAAAAACATAAAACCTGTACAGAAGGTACTGAATAATGTCAGTGAATCTGCCTACAGCCTCAGGAGCAAACACTCACCTGACTGATAAACTAAGTGTTAAAAATAGACCGTCCTAACAGCTGACGAAAGCACAAGGAGACATAGTGTATTATTTTGATTTGTCACACAAAAATCCAGCATATGATTTATGAGAAAGTGTATGGAACATGTCCTCACCAGATATCTGCCATCTGCATATTGAGACCTTAGGAACAAATTTAGAGGAATGAATAATTGCAAATTGCATGTAATGAGTAGCTGGGAAATAGGATAAGATTCAAGATGGGTCTTTAAAAACCAGATCATGCTGAACTAAACAATTATCTCTCTTAGATGTGCTAACCCAATCTCTTTGGCAGAGAAGGCTAGGTAGGTCTCACCTACTGGACTTTAGTAAAGCATTTGATTTGGTGCCACTGCTTAGGTGATTAAAAGGCAAACTGGAGAAGATGTAGGTTAGTAGGCAAATTGTAAAGGGGTGAGTAACTGCCTGAAGGGAAGAAGATAAGTAACATTGGAAAGGTGCTGTGCTGGAATAAGGGGGTTGAAAAAACCCCAGTCTTTAGGCATTCAGTATTTTTACTGACAGTTTAGATATTAAAAAAACAGGAGTGTTGTGAAACATGTCTGATGTGTGATGAAATCTGTCAACAGCAGAAAGCTAGAGGGTGTTGCTGGTACTCAAAAAGTTATGGATTTCACAGGCAAAGATCCCTGAGAGGTGAAATGATATGGTGACAAATGCTGTACGAAAAATTGGGTGGAAAAGAGATAGAAATTATGCTAGTAGCATTGAAAAAAAAAGGCACTGGAGAAACTTCATCTGGAATACTGTATACAGTTCCAGTTACCTCTATCTTCAGAGCACCTTCAAACTGAACAGGTGCTCTGAAGAGGTGTCCAGGAAAATTACTGGGAACATACAGCCTGTTCTATGAGACATGGGAAAGACTTCAGCAAAGCAAAGGATGAGAGAGCTTATGATTTCTGTCCATTAATACCACGGGGGGACAGGAGGGAAAAAGACAAACTATTCAACTTGAAGGACAATCTGACCCAAAAATATTTGCATGCAAATTGACCATCAACTGACCGAGTCTTGAAATTAGAGGAGAGTTCCTAGCTACCAGAGACATGACCAAAGGGGCTTCCCACAGAGGAAGATGGCAATGAAC